TCTCTCTCTCTCTCTCTCTCTCTCTCTCTCTCTCTCTCTCTCTCTCTCTCTCTCTCTCTCTCTCTCTCTCTCTCTCTCTCTCTCGTTGGATTAAAGCAAGAGGGGAGCCCAAATCAGATGCTGGTCAGAGCCCACACTAGGCTAAAAGATGGAGACACTTTTGGACTTCTTAAAGGTGCATCATCATCAGGAAGGCAGCTAGACCCCTGCCGCCCACATGGGGAGACCCCAGAAGGATTGTGGGAGGACTGCTCTTTGTCCATGACCCTCCGGAGTCTCCAGAGGCAACAAACTGTGTCACCCACCTCTTTGGCCTTCTCCCTCTAGTCCTGACCCTGGGCCTGCATTCTCCACCTTCCTTGATGGATGGGTGACATGTGGCTCATGGTTTCATGGAAAATTCTTCAAGGCCTTAATTTATCTGATATGACAGCTCAGGGTCTTAGAATATGAGAAGGCAGCCTTAAGGGCCAGAGGGAAGACAAGTCTCAACTCTACACTTGGTTACTCCGAGAGGGCCCCAGAACCTGGGGCTCTGGGTCAGGGGTGTGGATGACCAGGACAGCCATCCACGCAGGCAGAAAAGGGAGGCATGAGGCAGCCAAGAAACTGGTGTTGCCCAAGTCAGCCACTAGGGGGCAGCATGAAGCCAAGGACAGGCCTGGACTCGGACTCTGCTCCCGGCTAGGGACTGGAAGACCCTGAGCACCCGGCTTCCTCAGGGTGCCCGGAGTCCCCGTAGCTGACTAGCTATGCGGGTTTGTGTGAGTGCGATCCTGGGACGTTCCGGGAAACTGAGCTGGCTGCTCCAGTCTCCTCTAAGAATTAAAGGGCAGGAGAGCTGGGGCCAAGAGCCTTCCTGCATTACAATTCACTAATCAAATCTCGGAGTTGGTTCGAGGAGCAGGAGGGTGTAGGTTAAGCTGGCCTTAATCACCTAGGAGCCACAGCAAGGTTTTAATATAGCCAGCCCATTTCCTTTTCGGAACATACTGCTGAAGTGTCCGCTTGCCTGCTGTGTGCTCTAGCTTCAGTCAGTAGCCGCACCGTGGACTCAGCTCCTAACTTTTAGCGATTTAGGACACAAAATTTATTTATCTATTGATTCATTCATTCGTTTATTTTCGGTGCTGGGGATGGAACCCAGAGCCAGTGTACGTACTTCTCAAGTGCCTTACCGCTGAGTCACTCCCCCTAACCCCCCCCCCCCCCCCAGCTTTCAAATTTTATCTCATTCTCCAATCACTGGCAGAGAGGCTGTGCGGGAGCCTTGCCACAGCCCTCTGTTCTCCATTCGGCCAGACAGGTGGGTACACAGAAAAACAGCTCCTATGGCTGTAATGTAATTGGGTGCACACAGAAGTTTCACCAACAATTGGTGGCAGAAACTGGTCTTTGAGTTTGGATGTGTGCTTTTTTTCCTGGGTGCTCCGGGAGAGGCAAGAGGTGAAAAGTATACACACTGCTCAAGGGTATGGGTGAAGATTGAGGGAGAGACTCATTCTGCTCACCAGGTCCAAGGGAGAGGTCCCACAGCACACAAGAAAAAAGTCAGGAAACGTGTGCCCGATGAGCCCGGGGAACGAGACCAGCACTCCATCCCCCAACTCTCCGCAGCAACACAGTAAAAATGTTCTTGTTTCCTTTGGATGTATTTTTAATGTCAAAAATAGAAGACGATTCTTGTAGCCAGACAGATGTTTACTTACCTACAGGTCCCTTGGGTTGGAGGGCTAGATGGGGAACTTAACCCTGCTCCTGGAAGCAGTGCGCCTAACAGGTCTGTTGATGTTAGCTTGCATTGATGGAATTTCACCGTTACAGACTTGCAGAGGGGTCACTTTTACCTGTGTTGAGACGGACAAAATAAGCAGATGAAATAGGAGTAAAAAAAGGAGAAAGTGATACAGGCAACTGAGGTAGGGGTGCCCTAGCCAGACTGATGCCCAGTGAGGCAGCCTGCACTACAGCTGATCTGGTCCTCTAAACAGTTTCTCCCAACAAATAGGGTCTGATAGCTCCACACCACAGGGAATGTGTTCAGCCCTCTCAGCAGCTTTGGCCTGGGTTGTGGGCAGGGTGGACCTTCTCTATCCTTGCCATCCTTGACAGCTGCAGCCTGGGCATTCGGAATATTGGGGAGACCTCGGAGGCCAGGTGCTCACTAACAAATGTGGTACTGTGCCCAGAGTCTCTGTAGAGGCCCATGTGGCTTTGACACAGGGACAGAACAAAGCCCTGCCTCCTTCTGACCCTGGGCTAGTTAGGCTTTAGCGAGGGGTTCGTGGGGCCCCTTGGAGCCTTCATTATTTTTATTTTACTCAAGAAATATACTGTGACATACCGATGTCCTGAGAGATTTGTAGTATGGTGTACTGAGAAAAATATATCCTTACAGGTCACAGGCACTGGTCTCTCCACCAGAGCAGCTTCCAAACCCTGTCTCTCACCTGTTCCAGGACAGCCTGTTCAGTCTGGCCCCTGGCTTCAGGGTTTGACTTGACTCCATGGTTAGTCCAATCTACCTAACGCTGTACCTAGGATTCTGTCTAAGAATTCTCACAGGCATCTCTGCTGGGAACTGAGAGCTTGGGGCTCTGCAGGGCCTTTCAAGTATGTCCGGAAGTCCTGGTTCCCCAGGGCGGGGGTGGGGGGGAGGAGGCCAGCTCCTGGCACATGCCTGAGTCACCTTCTCAACTCCTTTCCCTAAATAATGAACTCCTTTTGGCGGCGGCGGCGGGGGTGGGGGGGGGGTCTGTCGGGTGTGTTTGTGTGAGTATCCAGGGCCCCACCAAGAGGCACTGCTGTGGAGGAGGGGTGGGTCATTCCCTCTTTTCTAGCACAACTACTTCCAGCCAATTAAGGTAGGCAGAACTAGGGGGCCCGAATATGGCCTGACCCAAATCTAAGGTCCTGGGCATCTATCAGTGTCGGGATGTAGGTACAGGCCAGGCTGGGCCCAATTTGTGTCTCATCTCTTGGGTAGGTGGGCCTATTATAGATCAGACTACAGACCCTGGTTCAGGCCCTTAAGATCTCCACAGAATTGTTCCTCGGGAAAAGAATGGAGGTGACCCCTGTCTTTAACTCCGTGATAGAGGTTCTTAGGGCCAGCAGGTGTGCAGATGCCTCGAAGGCAGATACTTAGGCCTGGGTGTAGAGGGTGGATCCAGCCATGGTACTGCCAGGGCCGGGATCCAGCTGGTAGTGGTAGGATAAAGCGATAATCAGTTGGCGCAGTCCTATGGCTAGCGCGGGCCGCGGGGACCGAGGGAACTGCACCGACGTCCGCATCGCTGAGGGGCTGTGCCCAGCTCCATGGTCCGAGGGGGCGCGCGCGTCGCGGCTGCGCGAGCCCCCGCCTGCAGACAAAGGAGCCCGCGGGGGGCGGGGGGGGGGATGGGGCGAGGGGGAGGGGCGTCGCGGTGTCACGTTACCGCCCGCAGAGCTCTTTAACTCGAGCCCCGCCCCTTGTCCCGCGCAGCCCGCTCGCCGCGCGGCCGCCAATCAGCGCAGGCCCGTCGCCCGCCCCGCCCGGCCCCGGGGGTGTGTGCGCGCGGCCAATGAGCGCGGCGCGGGGGCCGGGCCTCTGTGGGCGGGGCGGGGTGCGCCCTCCAATCGCCGCGGTGTTGTTGAAACTGAAAATACTACATTATGCTAATCGTGAGGAGGCCCGCGCGCCCGGGGGTGGGGCCAGCGCGTATAAAGGGGCGCAGCGGGCTGGGCGTTCCACAGGCCGAGTGCGCTGTGCTCGAGGGGTGCCGGCTAGGCCCGACTGAGAGCAAGCGGATAGGCAGGCAAGCTCCGAGGGGGCGCGGCCCAAGCTGGACAGGACAAGCGATCGAGACGCAGGAGCCGTCCATCACCAATCAGCCAGGTAGCCGCTGCGTCCCTAGGCAGAGGTGGACGCGGGCTGTGTAAGGGGTCTCACCCACGCCCAGCCTCCGCCCTCCTCCTCTCCCCTCTTCCTTCTCCTCCCGTTCCCTTCTTTCTCGCTGCCCGCGTTTGCACAGCCTTCGACCATGGGCATGTCCGACGTGTACCTCCGCAGCAGAACAGCGATGGAACGCTTGGCCTCCAGCGACACCTTCCCAGTGATAGCGCGCAGCAGCGCCTGCCGCAGCCTCTTCGGGCCTGTAGACCACGAGGAGCTGGGCCGCGAGCTGCGGATGCGCCTGGCGGAGCTGAACGCCGAGGACCAGAACCGCTGGGACTTCAACTTCCAGCAGGATGTGCCTCTTCGAGGCCCTGGCCGTCTGCAGTGGATGGAGGTGGACAGCGAGTCTGTGCCCGCCTTCTACCGCGAGACGGTGCAGGTGGGGCGCTGTCGCCTGCAGCTGGGGCCCCGGCCACCCCCGGTGGCCGTGGCTGTCATCCCGCGTTCTGGGCCGCCGGCTGGCGAGGTCCCCGACGGCCTAGAGGAGGCGCCTGAGCAACCGCCCAGCGCCCCAGCCTCGGCCGTGGTCGCGGAGCCCACCCCACCCGCGACCCCGGCCCCGGCCTCAGATCTGACCTCAGACCCGATTCCGGACATGACCCCGGTCGCGACCTCGGACCCGACTCCGGACCCAATCCCGGACGCGAACCCGGACGTGGCGACTCAGGACAGCGAGGAGCAGGTCCCTGAGCAGGTCCCTGAGCAGGTCTCTGAGCAGGGCGAGGAGTCGGGTGCTGAGCTGGGTGCTGAGCCGGGTGCTGAGCTGGGAACTGAGCCGGTCTCTGAGCAGGGCGAGGAGCAGGGCGCGGAGCCGGTCGAGGAGAAGGACGAGGAGCCAGTCGAGGAGAAGGATGAGGAGCCGGTGGAGGAGCAGGGCGCTGAGCCGGTCGAGGAGCAGAACGGAGAGCCGGTCGAGGAGCAGGACGAGAATCAAGAGCAGCGCGGCCAGGAGGACCAGCCTCTCTCGGGGATTCCAGGACGTCCTGCAGCCGGGACTGCTGCAGCCAATGCGAACGGTGCGATCAAGAAGCTGTCGGGGCCTCTCATCTCCGGTGAGCCCCGCACGGCCCCGCCCCGGCCCGGCCTCGCTTTGTCCGGCCGGCCGGGCTCTCCCTCGCCCTCGGGGGCCTCGCCCGGTCCCCGCCTCCTCCCGTGGCATTAAAGGGCCCGCGGCGCTTAGGGCGCGGTTGCGCCCGCACCCCTTTCCTACTGGTAGGGGTGCAGCTTCAAGGCTCCCGAGCGTGCAGTGGGAGGGCGAGCCTGGCCGCGACCCACTCGGATCGCGGTCTTTGGCTCGGGCCGCGGGAGCCCCTTAGGGAGCCGTGTGTGCGGCGTGGAGGGGGTTAAGTGCGGCGGCAGCCCCGGGGGGCTTGGCCGCGGGACAAGGGGAAATGCTTACACAGCACATTGCGCGGCGACGTAAACAAAGCTGACCCGCCGCGGACCTCGGCGCGGGCGGGGATGGCGCCCCCACCCCGGCCCCGCGCCCTGCGCACTCCGCGGGTCCCCTCGCGGGTCTCCGGGCCGGCCCCGCCCTGACCGGCGCGCGTTGTCGCCCGCAGACTTCTTCGCCAAGCGCAAGAGAACTGCGCAGGAGAACAAGGCGTCAAACGACGTCCCTCCAGAGTGTCCCTCTCCAAACGTGGCTCCTGGGGTGGGCGCGGTGGAGCAGACCCCGCGCAAACGTCTGCGATGAGTTAGGTGAGTCTGGCGTCCCCCCCCGGGGGTCGCGGAGGGGCCACCCCTGGGGGTTCCCGCCATGCCTGCTCACCTGAGTCCTCCTCCCCGCAGTTTAGAGCCTAACGGCCAGAGAGAATTTGCTGGGCATCTGGGCAGCGGACGATGGAAGAACTCTGGGCTTCGGCTGGAACCTTTCGTTCATGTAGCAGGAACTGGAGATGGCTGCGCAGAGCAGCCCACGGTTTTGTGGAAATCTGAAAACTGTGCAATGTATTGAGAACACTCTGTACCATGCATGTGCAAGGAGTACGCTGGTCCCAAGGTGTAAAGCTTTAAATCACTTATGTAAAATGTTTAATCTCTACTCGCTCTCAGTGGAAAAAAAAAAGAAAAAAGAGAGAGAGAGAAACTAGAAAATGTAGAACGAAGGAAGAAGATGAGAAAAGGAAAAAAATGTATATTTGTACAAAAAAGTTAAAAAATTATGATAACTTAATATTTGTATTTATCCATGCGTGAACCCCTCTGTCACGCAACTGCTGGGTTATTGATTATTACCAAAGGCACTAGAAATCACCAGCTTCAGATTACCCACAAATGTAAATCTACTTTTTATATTAGACTCTAGGGTTGTTGAGTAAAAGCCCCCACACGTTCATCTTCAGTTAGCTTACAGTGTCCCCCACTTTATTAGATTGCTCTTAAACTTGGTGACCAGACTGTCGAAATGGTTCCTGTACTGCCCATACCAACTGCCCAGGGCTCCTCGTCCGCCAGGTTCTAAATAAAGAGGCCCAACAAAAATCACACTTGCAGTCTTCTTGTTCTTTTAGGCTTTTGTAGTTCAGAGCCAAGGCAGCTGAATACGGTGGGTGGGGGCTGGGGCAAAGGGGCGTTGGCCAAATATCGCCACTACTTGACAGGGTGTTGGCTGCTTACAAGGAAGGGGAACAACTTTCACAGGACCTACTGACCTGCTACTCAGAAGTTTAGGAAACAGTGTCTGTTCCTAACAGACCCCCACGTTTTTGTCCAGTCAGACCCTGATGGGTACTTGCAGGGCTTAGAACAATGTAAACTCCCATGTACATGTGGAAGTGCTCCATGCCAAAGAACGTAGTGGCCCCTAGGTCCGTAAATCAGAGCAAGAATGGGCAGTGAGTGTGACATGATAGTCTGACAGGGAGTTGGGAGGGGGGTGATGAACAGATATTAGGGGAGAACACAGGGTGGGGTGGACTGGGTGGTGGTCCTGACCTAGTTTCTGTGTGAGAATTCAAAGCTGTGGCTCCTACATCCCCATGCCCTGTTTCCTGCCAGTCCACTGGATCCAAAGAGCCCCCTTTAGTTTAAGAAGGGAAGAATTCTTTATACCTGGCCTGATAAGGTGACAGAAAACAGATGAAGCCCTTGCAAAGTTCTGTGGGCCAAGGGAGAAGAACTCATGCACATTATCAGGGTGTACAACGCTGGACCAGGATTTTACAGCTATGTGGGGGGGGCGTGTATGAATGACTTAGCCTTCTCTGAATACCTTAGAGGCCCAATGTGGTCAGACTTTGATAAATGCCCCCACCCCATTGAGAGGACAGACCTCAGGGAGGGCAGGCCCTGCTGCCTGCAGCAGCCCTCAGCTTGCTGGTGGCCCAGGAATTAGAACCCAGCAAGGAAAGCTACTTACTGTATGTGCCCATGGAGGGTGGGGGAAACTCCCGACATTTACCTGTGTGCTAGAGCAGCCTTTTCCTCCGTGTCATGAGGGTGGCCATGGTACTTGAGGTGCTAGACAGCAGAGGTATGGATTAGGTCCCGACTATCAGAATACTGAGCCAGAAGCCTGGCAGGTGAGTCATGGGGTCTCAAGGACTGCAATGAGCTATGTGGCACACACACAGTGTAGAGAGGCCTGTTCTCTGCCATTATTCTCACAAACACTAAACCTAGGGCCCACCTGTAACCCCACATTCTGTGTTGCTTTGGGGGTCCTTCAGAAGAGTCCAGGGCTGTGTGAGAACACAGAGGTCATTTAATGGGTGTGGCAGGGTCTACAGCAGATACTCAAGATACCTGATCTAGGAAGCAACATCACACGTGTGACTCTGAGCCCATGTGGCCCCAGCCAGTCCTGTTTGACCTTGGGAACAAGTTTCTCTATTTGAGATGGGAAATATTTGGTATCCTATGGCTGTTGCCCTAGGCATGCAGGAGGTCAGGTGGTACTGCCCTGTCCTGTGCCCAACACAGAGCGGTAGTTGGTAGGTCTGTAGAACTAACCATCCAAGTGGTAATGACACATGATGGTGGGTAGGAGGTCTCACTGGGAAGGGTCTAGATGGGGGTGATCCAAGACCCCTCAACAGAACAGCCTGGGCCATTAAGGAGGAAGAGGAAGAAGGTTGAATGTGCAGGAGAAAAGGGAGGGCAGAGGGACCGTCAGGCTCTAAGGGGCTGCCTGGAGCCTTGGTGAGACTTGAGCTACCATCATATGGGTTACGCTATTGAGAGTAAGTGTGCACTTTGGGCACTGATGGTCCACCTTTGTCCCTTGGCCTCCTGAGTCTAACTGACAGACAGGCTACTGGCTGAATTTTGTGCCAGGCATTGGCAAATGAAAGCAAAGGGTTCCAGTAGAGGCAGAGAGCAGGGAAGCCATCAAGAAGGAGGGGTACAGCAGGAGGGTTCTATGCTATAGAGGCTAGATGGCTAATATACCAGGGATGCCAGAGAGCACAGCAGGCTGAAGCTGTAGTTCCAGGCTCCCTAAGACCCTCTGTGTCAGAAGCAAATATAAACCCAGTGAACCACAGTACACAAAGACCAGTGTTGGACACAGCCAAGCAACACCCAAGCTTTGCTTAACGCAGGGTATAGCGGGGTTCCTAGCAGCTTGCCCATGCTGACTGAACAAGATCAGTGGGACTGGCGGAGGAACGGCACAGGGCCGAGGCCCTGGGGCCCTGGGGCTCTGGGGCTCTGGGGTGGTATTTCTGGAGCTGGAGTAGAGGCAAGCCTTTCAGACTGCTGTGAGACGTATTTAGGTGGAAGGCCTGAGGTTTCTAGAGTTGATGTGAAGAATTGGGGCAGAAGCAGGTTGTCAGAGAGCAGGGATGGGAAAGGGCCAAGCTCCCTGCTTTGAGATGTAGGTTGCAATTCAGGCCACTCACCGCCCTGGTTTCCTTTCTCAGACAGGCCTCGAGAGCAGGTTCATTATCTCAACAGCCCTATGGTGAGGTATGAGCACCCATTTCACAGATGTGTTGACTGAGGCTTTGAGAGGCAAGCTAGTTTGCTGAGTGCACCGTTGGTTAGGCACAGGAGGGAATGGACCAGCACATAGCCTGGCTGCTCTCTAAGGCCAACAACACTGATTTGGGCTTCTGCTTTTTTGTTTTTGACACATTGTCATTAATGAAAGTTCACAATTTACATTCAGGCTCACTTTTGGTGGGTTGTCTTATCTACAGGGTTAGACAAATGTATGATGCCCTGTGTTCACCATGTGATCAAAGAGTGGAATCCACCTGCCCTCTGCCTCCTGGAACCCACCTGCCCTCTGCCTCCACCCTCAGCAACCCCGATCTTTTTGGCCCCCATAGTTCTGTCTTTGCAGAATGACTGTACCTTTAGACTAACTGTGTGCATTCAAGGCTCCCTGTGGCTTTTCCATGGCTTCTCTTTCTTTTTAGCACACAATTCTTGTAGCTGTAGAGTGCTCTACACTAGTTTGTCCCACCCCCCTTTGAAGGGTGTCATGGCTGCTTTCAGTTTAGTCAAGTTTGGCTCAAGTCCCTGTAAACATCTGTATACATCCAGTTTTTAGTTCATCTGGGTAAATACCAATGAGCTCAGTTGATGTGACCCATGGAAGGAGCCTGTTTGGTTTTGAGAAAAAGCACCAAGCTGACTCCCAGAGGGGCTACAGCCTTCTGATCCCAACAACAATGAGGGAGTTCCAGTTGGGGACTGATTTCCAGGGCTTCTTCTCTTTGCACCATATCTACCACAAATTCAGGTGATCCAGAGAACAGAAACTGGCTGGCAAAACTGATGTCCTGAGTTTGGTCCCTGGGCCCCAGGTGATGAAAAGTGAAAACCATCTCCCACAAGTTATACTATGTGTACCCCATGTGTACACACACACACACACACACACACACACACACACACACAAATAAGTAATGTAAGAAAAATAAGAAAAAAAAAAAGGAAATCTGTACTGGGGATGTGATTTAGCAGTCAGAGAGAACTTTTGAGGCTGTCCTAGGCCAAACATGATGCTCCAAAATAAAAAAACCCAATTAAAAAAAAAAACACCTTGATTTAATCTATAGTAGAAAAAGAAAATGGAGAAGAGTCAAACCTAGAATTAGGTGTGTATGGCTCATGTCTAGTGCCTCAAGAGCTCCAGGTCAGCCTGAGTTGCAAGTGAGGACCCTCTCTCAAAAAGAAAGTAATTTAAAAAGAAAGGATAGAAACCTTCTTCCAACTTGCACATGACCAAGACAGCAAAATTAAAAAATGACACCGAGATCTGAGGCTTTATCTCTGTTCATTGGCTTCCTTGACTTGGCCTAGAATGCAGAATCAGAGCTGTTGTTAATCCTCGAAATGGCTCTGAGGTCACTTGCAGTATTATCAGGTTATCTGCTGCCCTTCCCTGCAGGGGAGTCTGCCTCTCCTGCACTCTCTCAGACCTTCGCATGTGACTCTTGCTGCCTAGCGAAATATGACTGTTCTATGTCGCTTCTAAAATGTTCTGTCATTTTGTCTCTGTCTTGGGACTGTCAGCATCTGAGACTGGCTGCTCCTTTCCAGAAGACAGAGCAGAGAGTTCAGCCACAGCCTACTAGTCTGGCTGTCATAGAGAGTGAGAGATGCTCTTTGCTTTCTGTCTGCCATTGAGGGTGTGGGGTGTGCTTGTTATGCAGCACAGTGAAAACCAAGTTTACAGATACACTTCCCAGCCTACCATCTACAAGGACAACAGGAATCTGGTGACACTGTCTTGGCATTCTGGAGACTTGGTGCTATGTTTTGCACAGTGTTTGAGTGTATCCCCCAAGGGCTCATGGGATGGAAACTCTGTCCCCAGGATTTTGATGTGAAGAGGTGGAGGAGATAGTTGGAGGTCCTTAGTAAACTGGGAATAGACCTTTGGAAAGGATAGTGGAATCCTCAGTCATTCTCTGGCTTCCCATTTTGTGATGTGTTCTTCCTCTCTCAGGTACCTACCATGAAGCTCTCAACAGAAACTAGCAGGTCCTGGTATTGTATTGTCTCCTAAAACCTACAGAACTCTGAGCTAAGCAAGTCTTTTCACTTGATAAAGTATCCAGTTTCATATAATATGTTATAGTAACAGGATATGAATTAATACCAGTGGAAATGTGTCCAGAAATGATTCACAGACTCTTGAGACTCAGAGACAGATCCTACCAATACCAAATCCAGCTGTAGAGATACTGACGATCTTGGGTTGTGTGATGTAGATTAGCCGGTAGTACAAAGGGGAAGTGGCCTCACTCAGCCAGCCTTATGGACTTGGGAAGAAATGCTTTGATCTTTACTGCTCTTAAAGCTCTGGAAATGATTTTTCTCCTTTGTCCATGTGGCTTCAGCACTATCTCAGTTTCCATGCTGTCCATCCAGCTTTTGCCATGGCTACTTCTGCATCATGCAATATCATCAACATGGAGTCAGGTGTGGATCACAACTGGCATCTTCTCTTCCACAGCTAACAACTGTCCCAAGTCTTTTGTCAAGTCAAGAACCAGTCTGTGCTGTGTGGTTGAGACAGTACCTGTGGTTG